AATTATCGAGCTGGTGGTGCCACTGCTCAAAAGTTGATTGAGTTAATCCAGCTTAATTAAGTCAATATTTGCATAACATAGTGTAAAACTGCATTGACATGTCCTGCTTGATGTGTTATTAGATCGCTTAAGATCTACAAGGTTGGTAACCATACACAACATGTGATATAGAACCATGGTCTGAATAATTCAATAAATTAACTTTGACCTTATTAATCACCAGATATCCAGAATATAGATTAAGCAATTGAAAAAAATTGGTGGATTCTGATTAACTTATTTGCTTGGTACTTATCAATCCCCTGCACAGAAAATGTCAAATATCCCCTCCCAGGGGAGGGTTATTACTGTCAAATTCCTAACCCTTGGGAACATAAGAGCTGTTAAATATCTGTGGATTGCCCATCCCCTTCTCTTGGGGTTTAACATTGATAGGTGTGTAAAGGCCAATGTGTGATCTAGTTGTTGATCTAGATTGAGTTGGCCACATCAGGCATATGTAAAATTATATTTCAATTTTCCTGGAATTCAAATTTAAGATGAGCCTGGTTTTCCATTTCTGATCTACCTGACATACGTACGTACTGAAATCAAGTATAATTTTGGTTGCTCAGTTTCCAAATTTTCCAGTGAGGGGTACAGGCTGTTCCACAATAGCTGAGTCATGGCCATTTACAGAGTGTCCTTGCCGTGAATTAGATTTTTACATTCTGTATATAAGGTCATATGGATGGCAGCCCTCAAAAACTGTCAAAATTGAGGTCAGCAATAAAATGCCAACCTAAACCAGACCTAAGTCGGCATGTCTCCGCATTTTTAAAAAATCTGTTTCCATGTCTTGGAGCACTAGTAATCACATATTTGCGAATCATTGAAATCAGATAAAGCATATGCGTTTTTCAATGGAAACGCAAATACAGTATAACATGACAGCTCCCCTTTTGGAGTCTTACCTAAATTATACATAATTTTATATAGAATACTCGTCAATTTTTAAACCTTACACCGAAGTGTGTTCAGTTCGAACTACAAATCGAATTCTATAATCGCTGACTTTTTAACAGCAATCAGCACCAAAAAATTCTTACTTTGGTTGAATTAAGGTCGGCAAAAACTTGCCGACCTGGAAGGTTGATTAGGTTCACCTCGTTTTCAAGGGCTGAATAGCCATATTGTATTAAATTGTCAATAAAATAGTGCTTTATAATCTATTGGTCACAGCGATTTAAAAATTAATCAAGCTTTTTCACCTTTTGCTCTGCTTACACACCAGGCATGGTATATAGTTCATAAATGAAGTCATGAGGGCCATCAATCACGACGGCCAACGGGCCTTTGCTCAAACTTTTTCATGGATGGTGCAGTACTTTCTGGAATCACCCAACAAAAAACATTACCTTGTTGAACTATCGCTTTAGTTTTGGTGGAGATTGTTATAAATGAAAACCTGAAAACCTACAAAACAAAGTGCAAAAATTATATATAGCAAGCCACGAGGCCAAGCATATTTGCGATTCTTATATAGCAAATATTAAAAAACTCTCAAGTCTCAACATACACAATTACTTTTAAATTTACCGTTTAACCACAAAATATAAAACTCAACTATATTTTAATAGCTTATCACATTCAGTTTCTGTTTACCTTTGGTTTTAATGAAGGAATATCAACCAAAATTTGTGCACATTGAGTTCCAAACGTAACACCATGGCACAAGGTTGCGTGGTTTATACTTGTGGCACAGAGCTTGTGGCGTGAGCCTTGGCGCATGTTGCCATTATGTATAAACCAATTGCAACTCTCCGTTCAGCAATGCTTCCATTTTCAAAAAACATAATTTCCTTCAAAACCTTGAAAATTTCCTTATTTTTGTTTTCAGCTAGTTAAAATTTCCTCCAAAAAGGAAATTTCCTCCAAAATGGAAGCCCTCTTAGCCAAGTGCTTCCGCTTTTAAGTTTCGAATTTCATATGGAAAGTAGACTTTTATATATTGTTCTAAAGTTTCCCAGACATTGTATTGTTATATTTTTAAAATTCCTTTCAAACAATGTATTATTTAATTTATTTTTAGGAAATTATTAGGTTTAGGAGGCGAATTTTCTCGTTCTTGGGGCATGTGTATGTCAACGTATCGACCTTATGGGGGGAGGGGGTTTACTAGGGCTATAAAATCTCAATGAGGGCTATTTCCCCATACAGTTATGCGTATATCAGCAAGGATGATTTTTTTACTAATAATCAAAAGGGCCCAGCTCATCCAAGGCCGGGCAAAATGACGAATTGTTGAACCAACCACGTTCCCAGGCTCTTCCTCAGAGGTTGTTGGTGAACATGCCCCCCCCCCTGTTTTTGCTTGGAAAACGATCGAAAAATGGTTTATTTCACATTTAGTGCGTTTTACGATCGATGACGACGATCAGCGGAAAGTGTCCAAGTAGGCGTATATCATTTTGGACGTTTATAAAGCGATGATAAACAACACGAACATTTTACCGAGATTTCCGGGCCCTTCTGAGTACTCTGGGCCCCGTGTATTTTGTCCCCCCCCCCCCCTCTCGTCGGCCTTGAGCTCATCTGGAAATATTGCTACACTACCACCCAGTGGGCACTGGGGCAAACAAATGGCCTACTGGGTAATGGTAAATGCCCAGTAGTTATATATTTAAACTAGAAGTTACTATCGCAAGGAAATTGCTGCCTCACCTCCAAGGGATGGCACCATGCGCAATTTGCTGAATAAGGGGCTGTTTATAAGATCCCGCTTTGCCAGAGACACGAGGCAGGATGATTTCGATATACTGAAATTCATCACAGTGCATAATTCAGCAAAAAAACATTTTCTAGAGATAATCTATATTTCTATAGTCAACTGTAAACGAAAGGTTGTTCAAGCAACAATAATCATCTTCTTGAACTACCAGATCTTCTCTACAATATTTGAATTCTGTTAACAATGGCCTACTGGGTGAATGCCCCAGTAGTTCGACTTTCCCGCTTTGCTCGTGGACAATCTTAATTGAAATAGCTGTGTACAGTCAAACGGATGCGTTTCAAATTACAACGTTTCGCCACTCCAGTCTAGTGTCTTCATCAGGAGTGGTCTAAAGATACGAGTAATCATGCTTTGAATAGGGATGACGGTGCCTATTTGGCAGATGAATACATGCATCTCATTGGCAGATGACGGCAACCCTTGGGTATTTAAGAAGCCACGATTGCATCTTTATATATCACCCCTGATGAAGACACTAGACTGCAGTGTCGAAACATTGGGTCTTAATTACAATTCGACTGGGCTTTGTAATAATTTATTTAAACCAGAGTAGCGAGCGAAACATGATTGATATACCTGGTTGCAGTGAACGAACAAACTGGACAGTCAAATCTGAACCTCTCTATTATTACGATTACATATAATTCTTTAAATACGGATCCTTTTACAAACAAAAACGTAATATATTGAAACTCTTTATAAATACATATTAAATATAATGGTTTTCTATTTATGAATCTGACAAATTCACAACCTGCTTGGAAGCGCTTATACAGTTAATTATGTCTGCACAACATTGAGTATAGCTAAAATAGTTAAATAAGTAATAGCTTATAATTGGATTATAGTCGAAACGAAGTAAAATTCTTTTTAGCATTCTTTTTTTCTCTCCAGTACAAATTTTTTATTATTTTTTATTTTATTCGTTATAATTTCGGCCTTTCCGCGAAAGCTTTTTAAAAGCTGTCGGAAGAATTTAGTTACCTTTTGGAAACCAACGCACCTCCGCTCCAAAAACTAGAAAATATAAATGCCCGTATATATTGTGGGTCGCGCTGCATGGGAAGACTTCCCGATGAGGGAGCAGCAATTCATGCAGGAGGTCTAGTTCAATGTTCTCCATATCAAACGTTTGTTCTCTCTATCTTTGTTCTCGATGCCTCACTTAATTTCCTTATTTTCGAGGGCTTACAACTATAAGTGTAGAATAGCAATTCTATATATTATGCACCTTCTTATGCAAAATATACATTTTCAACGACGAAATTTAAACTACATGCCCATGTATATAAACGTTTTTTTCCCTATACACTTTCCGTTTTATTTCAACATTTCCAGATACAAGAATATTTAACAATTATTTGCCGAAGGCGAGTTCATTATCGTTGAATAAAAACCGAGACGAAGTCGAGGATTTTATTCAGGATGATGATCGAACCTGAGGTGAATAATTGTTTTAGTATAATTTCATATAGGTGATTATTTTGAAAAAATAAAAAATACACATTTCTTTGCTTCACAATATTGAACGGCTTTGGCCGCCATTTCGAAAATCGCTTAGGCGATTATCGCGTTATAATCATTCCCCAGCCAAATGAATGTATAAGTATGATGGCAAAGCAAATAAATAAATAATCACCTATGTATTAATACTAAAATAGCATATTCTTGTCTTATATGACTTCCGTTATTCATATTGTTTCTTGCCTATGTAAAGTTTTGGTTTACAAAATTTACAAATCTGTAAATTCAACAAATTTGGTTACTAGGACTTGTAATCTTGTAAACTCCAGCTAATGTTTTAGTGACCAACACCGCATGTGACCCATCTCATCAGGCTCCATCGTATAAAATTCTGGCTGCTGCTTCCATCTACATAAATACATAAAACGTAAATTATATCAGCACATATTTATTAATATTTAATTATGATAGTAAATTCAATGCGCAAGCAAAACATTGAGCGCAAAACAAAATGTATTTAAATCCCTGATTTTTTAGAACGCTTATTCCTTCTTCCGGATGTGACAAAAGACAACCAATTAATAGATGCAGACACAGAAGAAAGCTGTCTGCACGGTAAGTTTTCAACTAGGATTTTCATGATATTTGTAAAACCATAGATCCTATACAGGCATAAACTAGTTTCATATTAATCTGATACTGCAAACGAGCAACGAAAAATTCGCTGGCTCGAGCGGGATTTGAACTCGCATCTTCTGGTATCTAGACCGCCGCTCTACCTATTGAGCGATTGAGTCAACAGGGATTGGTAGCGAGTGTTTCAATTCTATTTCAGAATTTCTATTTCTATTACGAATTTTTCCTTGCTCGATTGCAGTGCCAGATTCATGTGAAACAAGTTTTTCGTATCTCGGAGTATGTTTCTGAAATACAGGCATAACATAGCATGACATATCGATCGAGCACAAATGTAACCTTTTTTCACGTGTTAACACTTATCGTAGGCTACCCTAGAAATAGATATAAAGTAAATATTAGCACAATGCATGGTGAACTTACGAGGTTGAACTTTAATCATCCAATGGAATCTATGAATGAAAATCAATTTTTGACCGTTATCTCTATTAATATAACACGGAATATCTCAAATTGACCTATATGTGTTTGAAGTTTACATACTATCTCTGTATAATTATACACGTGTACAAAAAATCTTGATAGCGAGTATATTAAAAGTTTTTCTAGTACGATTGCCATAGTTGCACCCTAATCCATGTAAAGTTAGAATTTTAATTTAATTTCCACCTTTGAATAAACGTGTTTTCTCTGACTTGTTGAACCCAGATTAACCATCCATGTATGTCGTTAGAAATGATGGGTGTTATTACGATATGAATAGGAAAAAATGTTTCCGGATAATTCAATTGTAAAGCAATTGAATACTTCAGTATCTGCATGAACCTGCAGTTTATATGCAAAGGACTTGACAAAAACGCGGTGAACAACTGTTTTGATAAAAACGAGTACAACAAGATTGTAACCTGTACACACCCATACAAAAGGTACATAGGAAAAATATTTTACCTACTCCCATTTGAAACAAATCCTGGGTTTCCACTCATATTCCAATTCTTCAATCGATAATTGCAATTCTTCAAAGGACTTATACGCCTTACTTTGTTTGAACATCTGTAGATTCAAACAAACATTCGACTCCCCGCAAGAGAAACGCACAAACAGAGGAAAACTGTGGGGACGGTCAGTCTTAGTTATTTTCACGATATTTGTAAAGTATAATTAGTTCGGACACGAGAGAATACAGCGGTATTTTCAACGAACAATATGCCGCATGACATATTTCTCCTGCAAGAAGGATACTTTTATACTAAAATACAAGATATAATTTTACCTCTTTCGACGGTTTAAACGCTTGTGGACCAAATATTACCATTCGTAGGCTCACCTACAAGTAGATGACAAGTAAATATTAGCACAATGAATAACGAACTTTAGTTATCCAATTATATCCTGTATTTCCCAATATTTCAATTCTCCTTTGATAACTGGAATTCTTGAAAGCACTTATGCCTTACTTTATTTTAACATCTGCAGATTCAACCAAAGATTCCACCCAGACCCATGATAATGAAGATAACGAAGAAAGAGGTCGGGACGGTAAGTTTTAGTTATTTTCACGATATTTGTAAAATGATAGATGCAACCTACAGTACTCAACGGAATACAGAAAATACAGTATTTACAAAAACAATTTCTTGCATGACATATTTCACGGCTATAAGTTGGATATTTTTGTACTTTAATTTTTGGGTTTCGTATGACGTCACAGAAGTGACGGGGTGTACTCTAAAACAAAACACAGTTATCAGAGTGAGTCAATGGCTCGATTTATGTATTAGCCTTCCGTTTGGTTGCATGCAAACACGTGCAATTCCCGATCATTTTCTCACTCCAGTACAGCTGCATAAGCATCAATACATTTCAGGTTGACTCCCCCCTGTCAGATCCCCTGCATAATGCCGTAGTGAAACCCAAGAATACCAGTACAAATTTTACCTTTTTCCACATGTTAACAGGTACTGACCAAACTTAACTGATCGTAGGCTCCCCTAGAAATAGACATCAAGTAAATATTAGCACAATGCATGGTTAACTTTAATCATCCAATGGAATCTATGTATGAAAAACAATTTTTGACCGTTATATCTATATAACACGGAATATCTCAAATTGACCTATATTATGTGTCTGAAGTTTACATACTATCTCTGTATAATTATACACGTGTACAAAAAATCTTGATAGCGAGTATATTAAAAGTTTTTCTAGTACGACTGCCATAGTTGCACCCTAATCCATGTAAAGTTAGAATTTTAATTTGATTTCCACCTTTGAATAAACGTGTTTTCTCCGACTTGTTGAACCCAGATTAACCATCCCTGCATGTCGTTAGAAATGATGGGTGTTATTACGATATGTATAGGAAAAAATGTTTCCAGATAATTCAATTGTAAAGCAATTGAATACTTCAGTATATGCATGAACTGCAGTTTATATGTAAAGGACTTGACAAAAACGCGGTTAACAACTGTTTTGATAAAAACGAGTACAACAAGATTGTAACCTGTACACACCCATACAAAAGGTACATAGGAAAAATATTTTACCTACTCCCATTTGAAACAAATCCTGGGTTTCCACTCATATTCTAATTCTTCAATTGATAATTGCAATTCTTCAAAGGACTTATACGCCTTACTTTGTTTGAACATCTGTAGATTCAAACAAACATTCGACTCCCCGTAAGAGAAACGCACAAACAGAGGAAAACTGTGGGGACGGTCAGTCTTAGTTATTTTCACGATATTTGTAAAGTATAATTAGTTCGGACACGAGAGAATACAGCGGTATTTTCAACAAACAATATCCCGCATGACATATTTCTGCTGCAAGAAGGATACTTTTATACTAAAATACAGGATATAATTTTACCTCTTTCGACGGTTTAAACGCTTGTGGACCAAATATTACCATTCGTAGGCTCACCTACAAGTAGATGACAAGTAAATATTAGCACAATGAATAACGAACTTTAGTTATCCAATTATATCCTGTATTTCCCAATATTTCAATTCTCCTTTGATAACTGGAATTCTTCAAAGCACTTATGCCTTACTTTATTTTAACATCTGCAGATTCAAGCAAAGATTCGACCCAGACCCATGATAATGAAGATAATGAAGAAAGAGGTCGGGACGGTAAGTTTTAGTTATTTTCACGGTATTTGTAAAATGATAGATGCAACCTGCAGTACTCAACGGAATACAGAAAATACAGTATTTTCAACAAACAATTTCCTGCACGACATATTTCTCCTATAAGTTGGATATTTTTGTACTTTAATTTTTGGGTTTCGTATTACGTCACAGAAGTGATGGGGTCAACTGTAAAACAAAACACAAATATTACTAATCGTAGGCTCCTTTGATGACAGGAATTCTTCAAAGCACTTATGCCTTACTGTATTTTAGCATCTGCAGATTCAAGCAAAGACCACGATACGAGTAATGAAGATAACGGAGAAAAGTGTCAGAATGGTAAGTTTTTTGTTATTTTCACGATATTTGTAAAACAAGTCAATGGAATTTATGAGAAACAATGGGAAACAATGTCGGTTATAACAAGGAATATCTTAATCGCCACTTCCTTAATATATAGGCTGGTATATATCAGTAAAATAAATTAACCTACCTGCATGTATGTGCAAGGTTCAAGGCATGCAGAATCACATTCCCAGCAAACTTGGCGATCTGAGAAGTAAATATAGTTACGGCGAATAGTTTGCTTTCAGTGCACGTGATGCAGAAGTGAACTGGGACGAACGTTTTTCTTTTGCGAAAGAATGGATGATATTACGATAATAGTACAGTAATTACTTCAATACCTTGAGCCAGTCTATAAGGAGACGCATGAAAGCACTTCGTTGCACATAGGGCCATGAATCCTTTGTTAACCGTTTTGTTTGTCGCAAAAACAGACAACGTGCATGTGGAAAATATGTGGAAAATAATGACTCGAAAAGCGACGACATAAGTTTAATGACCCATGCATCGTTATAAGCAGTATAATATTAAGTATAGTGTTTTTCGTTATGGCTTTCTTCATTATTCTTTTTTAGTTCAACTGATGAAGGATGGACAAGTTGTGGGAAATGGAGTCACCTGCCCTAATATGGTAAAGGTTCATGGTCACGACCTTGTAGAAGGTTGGATTTCTGTAGAAATAAAAGAACTCTTCTGCAAGGAGTTACCATGTTGGGTTGACTATCCAACTCTTTCCGAAGAAATCGAGATTGGAAGTTATAGCGCATGGCCCATTGATCAGCTTATTGGAGAACAAGATTATAGAGGTACAACAATATAATATAGCATTTGCAAATTCTGAACGCTGATTGGCTAAGAGCCGTGTTGATATAACTGAATGTCGACACGGAAACGTCGGAAAATTTCTTTCTTTATATTTTTTTGTGCTCTATTATAAACCAAATATATAACTTTTTCTGTATTGATATATACATGCAGTACTCGTAGAAATTGGAAAAACTCGAAATTGTGTGAAAACACTGCGCCCTTTGGGCGTCGTGTTTCCACACAATCTCTCGTTTTTCCAATTTCCACCCGTGTTGATATAACTGTATATCAACACGGAAAATGTTTTATGTTTGTTAAATATAAAACATAACATTTCACTATTCAAACACAAGCTAAACTCATCTGGTCAAATATATGTGAACTTCAGTATGTATAGTAAGCAGCTATATAGGAAGAAATGATAAATATTAAGTTATACTCTCCAGTATTGACTGTATTATAGGTGCAGAGGATCTGAAAATCAAGTTTAACTATATATATTCCATGTGTATAATTATAATACAATACTTGAAGAGAAACTTACGCGTCATGTGAATTTATTGCACATCACATAACTGAAATAATGATATGACGCGATTGAAATTAAATTTAGGCCATGCGGGTCTATAAATAACCCTTGTTTGGGAAAGTCAAAATACACATACATGTTTTATAAAATTGTGAAAAATATTTTTGCAGGCAAAGTGCTTCCATCCCGCAAACGCACCAGAAAACAGCAGAAAATATTGCAACACGTAAGTAAATCAATTACTCACATACGTGCAAAAACCCTTTGCTATATAAATGCATGCAGGAATTAACTTTCACGAAAATTTCGATCCGGCATGACACAACACGTTACCGTAGTTTATGGAAACGTGACATTTTAGTCTTGATCTGTACACCTCTTTCATAGTCTTTTCATTTCTGTATAGGAAAATAAATTATGGACAGTAAACGAGATTGACACCGCGAGCGAAGATGGAAGTTCTTGTGAAAGTGGGGTAAGTTGTCAACAAGATAAATAATTGATATTTGAGTGTACGAAACACACTATATATACATACCCAATAAATACATTCAGAACCTTATCACGCACTATATCACCTCCGGTAAACGAAGGTCAAAACTCGATTTTTGGTCTTGTTTTTAAACCGAATTGATAGCTCGGTTGGTAGAGCGATGGGCTTGTAACGCAGAGGTCGCCGGTTCGAATCGGACTCAGTCTCAACTTTTCCTGTTCACTAAAAAATACTGCGGTGATTAACATATATATATATATATATATATATATATATATATATATATATATATATATATATATATATATATATATATATATATATATTATATATATATATATATATTATATATATATATATTATATATATATATATATTATATATATATATATATATATATTATATACATATATATATATTATATACATATATATATATATATACATATATATATATATATATACATATATATATATATATATACATATATAAATATATATACATA